CCAACACATGTTACCCCTCCCTTATATGCTTATCCATCAAGAAAGTCCTTTGTAGTTGTATATACTTTAAAGGATCCTCAGTGCCTCAATAATGCATTTCAAGTACTGGGAAAGGGTAAAGCACAGCTGCCTTACAGAGTCTCTGCCAAATCTGAATCTGCTTTACGATTTGACCAGTCTACCTTTCCGCCACCGCCCCCCCCCCGAGTAAATTGTCATCTTTCATCAATTTATAACTACTATTTATAGCTGCATTATACTTCTACCAACATTCATTAGAAGCAGTGCAGCTGATTTTTTGTTTACTTCACAGAAGAGTTTTGATGCACTTTGCCTAAATATTAGCGATATACCAGAAGGAAACAACATACTGAATCCCACCACGTACAGGTTGGCTTAGTTTCGTTTCCTACCTTTGATCAATTTCTCAGGTAGGGAACCTCTTAACGGTGTCATTAATCAAAATTCAAATGTGTGCTTGACATAAGCATCAATATATTGATTTATACGAGGAGAGTAAAATTAAAATGAAGATGTATAGTTTAGGACTGTTTGTTATTCACATTTATGTTCAAATATTTTGACTTCGTAAGAGAGTAACCTCTGGTGGGAGTTAGCTATACAACAATGTGAATGTAATTACACTACATACCCATTTAGTAGCACAGGACTCTCATCCCAGTTTGAAGCCCCCTTCCACATCCCTCAACTCTTTGGAAACAAGTTCTTCAGTTTTTTCTCACCAGGCAATGACCATAGTGTGGCACTTACTGTCTTCTGGAGGCCCAGTTCCCACCACTGGTGGGAACTCCCACTCCCACTTCCCACCCAGTCCAGACCCTGGTGGAAGTTTCCATCTCAGTGGAGTAAAGCTACTGCTAAATTCCTTGTAGGGAGACGAGCTGTATCGAACAAGCTCACAGTTAAAATCAGGCCTGTATTCTAATATTTGGATTTAATTGCAGACCAAAAGAAATCTTAGATGTGTCTATATGATGAGTTATCAGACTTGTGGAAGCCAAAGGATCTCTGATCCTTGCAGAATGACTCCCTTTCTAAAAGGAGAACCTACGCACTTTACCAATCCCATTTTTTGTGTATATATATGTTTGAGTTTTATTTGACAATGTTTAGCAAAGCATTTTTCTGCAGTACTAGAAGCGCTGAGTACTTTTGGTGTGGTAATTCGACATATTTGCACCTTGGTAAAGGGCTGTGAAGAGGAAAGTAGCTTTAATAGTGAGTGGCACCTTCAATATGCTGAGTTAAATTTATGTTTGTTGCCAGCCAGAGAGTTGTGTCAATGAAAGGATGTGTGCTTTTAGGAGGAAAAGCAGAGGGACAGTGGATAAGTGGTGTAACATTTCAGTTCCAGTGTCACTGCCATTGTAGGTTACCTCCATGTGTTGTCTGCAGCAATTCCACTCTCTTCACTGAAAGATTTTTTTCTATGCGTTTCCCAAGATTACGTTCTTAAATAAATGGACATGAAACATTTAGTACTGAAAAAGTATAAAAGCAAAAAGGCAGAACTACCATTCCCCAGGTTTCATTCAGAGATGAATTCTTTATTAGAAATGTCTGAGAAGTTGTCAGAGAATTACTACACAGAGGACTCAAGAGGCATCAGAATTAATGGCCTGTTTTGAAAGAAAATAAAGAGTCTCTGTCCATTGTAAGTTTGTTGTAGTTTCATGCCTAACTATAGACTATTCTAGGCACCTCAATAGCTTAAAAAAAAATGAAGAAAAGATTATGAAAATTGGCAGCATTTAAGAAGTGAGTTTTGGTAACCCTGTGAGCTGATGAAACTGGGAACTTTCTAATTTAGTTAGCTTTTCGTTTCTTCTTGTAACTCAGTTTGCCATGTTTTTATGTAAATTGCCAGCACTTTACCTCATAATATTTTATGAGATGATTGATTGTGGTGCGTGATGTCCCACTGGAGACCAGTGCGGATAAATACTACATTCCCCTTGCCCCAGGAAGGAGAACATTTTGTTAAGCCTCAGTTATTCTTTGTGAGTATAGGTGAACTCTTACAGAAAGCACAGTTTGAATCGCTCAAATGCTGGTGGTTAGTTCTTTGTTTTGATTTTAAGTATCCACTAAATCAGGTTACTGGATGATTGGCTTTTCATTTCCAACAGAAAGTCCTACTTGATATTTATGTATAATTTAACACCGTGTAGTGTCCCTCATGACAGAAGAATAGGCAGGACCGTGCTGTAGAGGAGACAAAGGAGTTTTTTCATTCAGCATACTGCACACAGACAGGACAGTTTTCTCCCAGGCTGGCAAGCTTACCGACAGGAGGGAAGAGCTGTGCCACCCTGTGCCTGCCTGCCCGTCTCATCTCCTTTGCCACCTGCCTCCCCACTCATTTAAATACCATGCTCTTTCTTCAGTGATATCCCCTGCAGTAGGTTGGCCTGCTGGAGACCTTGCTCCTTTATTTCCTTTCATATATCAATTTCAGCCACATTTTCCTGATGTGTGCACGTGTGCATTCTGTATTTGTTTACTTGGTGAATTAAAAAAACCCCACTGTAGTAAAAGATTGTATCTCCAATTCCTTCCATAGCTTTTTAACTACAACCAGATAAACCTCTGACCTTAACAGCAATAGCATATATATTAACTGGAAAATATTTGCATATATTGCTTTCCATTCCCCAAACTTGTTTGTTTTCTTACTTTTGTGATGTCCTTAAAAACAGATAAAAATCAAAATGACATTCTATGAGAAAAAACACAATTTTTTTTCTTAATGGGAGAAATCAGATTGGCGGTCAAGGACTCTGCAGGTATATCATGATTTACTCATGATTTTCGCTGTAACTTTTAACCTTGATATTGTAGGTTGATGCCAAAGAGCAACTGCAAATACAGTTCTATAAGGGTTTTTATCTTTTGTTAGCAGTGATTTTTGCTAGCCTTATACTAAGAGCCGTGGAAAATTAATATCAAATTGTTGAGGTAGCATTGCTATTTCAGAATAAATAGTATTAAAAATATTCTTCTGCTGACATAGTAGGGTCATATATGAAAACCTCCCACATCTCCGTGCTTGCACAACCTTCAGGGTTTTGGAAAACGGGATTCCTGTATCATGTGAACAGGATGAAAAATTTACCTTGAGGCTCATGTGTGACTCAGACACTTTTGAAAAATGTACCCTTTGTAAATGGAGCCTTCACCACTTTTTGACCTTATTGACTGCACATGTTCGAGTAAGAATGCCTTAAATTTGCAAGTTTTGTTGCTTTGCCACATGCCCTGGTCCCTATCATGAGCTGTAATGGAAGACAAACTCCAGAAGAGCTATGGCAGTGTGGGACTGTACTCATATTGGCCTAACATTTAATGCACTGATAGCAGTCTGGGCTCCATTTAGTTAACTATAGCTTTCAAGGTACAGTGCTCACTCATCCCTACTTGAAACAAGTCTTGTGTTTCGTTACTGCCTCAGGATAAGGATAGATGGATAGACATGACAGAATCAAAACTTAAATGGGATAAGAGTTATTCTGGGGATTTATAACATTTACCATATTAGTGTGTTTTTCCTGTAGTCCCCGAAGGCTGTCTGACAGTTCAGGGAAAACTTCGAAAAACATGTTGTTTAAAGTCAATTCACATATAGATAACTTAATTTTTATTAACGATGACTTTTGTGTAAAACTTTTTTGATTCACATCTTTACTACAAATAATACACGTACGCTTCCTCTCTAAAGGCAAACTTTTTTAGTGAACCAACAGAAATGCTCTACCCTAATACTGTATGTACACACTGGTTTTACACTTATCCGCTTTTAGCAAGTAAAACTGTGTGACTATAAGTAATCACTGTGTATGCACAGATAGATGTTCTTGTCAGTCTGGAATAGTTTCTGCAGACTAGCTGCAGAAGGAATATGCCAGCGGCAGCATGAAGGGTGCAAGCAGAGCAGCATATGGAAAAACCTGCTATTGATAATGATAAAGTGCGTTTGGGAGAACTTCTCTTCTGGACATTTCTCAAGCCCTTACAGCCCTTTTAGAAAGGTCAATGTCTTAACAAATGCCCTTACTGTTTTTTTTCTGTCTTCCTTCCTCTGGCCCATGGCTGAATATAATGTATCTGTCTTTAAAAGCAACAACAAAAACGTTTCTTATTTCATAAGCAGTGTAAAACCCCTATTTTGGTGAGAAATGAGGCTGAGTAAGGACTCCAGATTCTTGCCTTTTGATTGTTGTGCTCGACTGTAGCATAAAAAGTACGAACTGTCCAACTGAAATATATCAGTTTTCATTTTCTCACTAGCAACTCTGTTGTTTTGGATAATACCCAAAATACCAGAGCAGTTTCAATGTTTTGATTCCTTCGCTCTTGAACAAAGACGTTCCTTGTGCTCCATTCAGTGTCCCTCTCCTGAGACGGCTTTCTCTACCTCCGGGTTGTTGCTTTACCTTTTTAGTAAATAGAGCTGGGAGTCCATCTTGCATTTGCCTGTTTGAGTGTAAGGGAACAAAGTATGTCCTCTGCAGACAGTTGAGTCCTGCCTCCAAGATGAAATGTGAGAGTTCGGCTAGCTGGTATGAAAAGTAAACAGGAAATAATCCTTAGAAATTGGAATCTGCAGCTAGTCTTTTAACTTTTAGCTGTGTATTTTTAAGAGATCCTTTGAACATGAACT